CCCCAAAACCCCAAAACCCCAAAACCCCGCGAATCAATCATATTTTAATATCTAAGAATTAGTAGAAAGATAATCAAAATTTTCTTAATATCATTTGCATAGTAATTAATGATTGCTTAGTGCCATCATTATAGTTAAATTTGGAATAAGCTACAAGGTAATTTAAGTCTGCTCCTCTTTATCCAGATGTAATTGTATACGCATAATTATTTGACGTATCGATAAGAAGAGCATGTGTCTACATAGCGTAAGATCCAATGTGATCTACAATTTTAATATACTTTAGTACTGTGTATGTCTTATCAATTTTAATCAAGTATCCTGAGCATAGTGAACTTGCAATCATTTCTCCCATTAGATATAAATCTCCAGTTGATGGATCAAGATATTATGTTTCAACTGAATGCTATATTGTTGTAGTACTTTAAGAGAATTACTTAGCTCCCAGCAACTTTCCATTATAAGCATGCTAAGTCAAATATGTTAAATATGATGTAGTTTGACCGCTATTAGGTTCTTTATGTGTAACAGAGTAGATTACATTATCGGTGGAAGTTGCACAATATTTTGTTCTAATTGGACCAACCGAGGAGCTTTGTATTAATAAATGGTAAATCAAGTAATAATTAGTTGTATACAGACTAATGAATGCACCAGTTCTTAAAGAGTTATATGGAATATAACTAGAAGATCCACAAATCAATATGTTGTCATTTAAGCTATGGAACTGCATATACTGAATTTAATAGTTATTTTGACCGAATAATGCTGGATATATTGCACTTGAGCAGGTCGATCTTATAATACCTGTTCCATAATCCACTGAAGGATAAATCTCAAAGATAGTAGTTTGATCAACAACAATGAAGCCTCCTCCATTATATTTTTCAGTAAATGCTTATGAACCATAATCATGTATCATAGTTATATTAATCACAAATGAAAGTTACCATGAACTAGAAGATGAGAAATAAACACCCCTTTATGGGGCAAATCCAATAAATGAATAGGTGTTTGTGAATGTAGCTCCAACACAATCTGTCAGCTAACCATAAAATATAGAAGAATAGTAAGGTACGCTTGTTGGAGTAATATATACAATATCTCTTGGAGGATCAATTTAATTTGGTTAATTAGTACAGCCTGTTAATGTTGCTGAGGCATATTAAAGCAAAGGATATCTAGCGGTTATTTTCTCCATATATATTTCAAGCAAATCTTAAAGTATAAATTCTCCTTAAGAAACAGTTTATACAATGCCTGACAATTAGTCACTTAAAGAAACAGTGTATGACTGTTCATTTATAGTCTAATCAGGAAAAGAATGACAAGAGCTATCATGAACAAAGTCTTGATCTAATATGTAAAATAACAATTAATAAGGCAGTGTTGTTGCTAAAAATTTTAAAGATTAATGATATATACATTGATATTTATCAGAATGCAAGAAAATGAAGAACTAATCTCGAAATAGAAATAGCTAAGCTAAGCTTGAGATAGTTGACGCTGCGTTTGAATACCTATTTATTAAAAGTTAGTAATTATGAAATTAAGTTTACATTTAAAGTTTTTAAGTTTGGAGTGTAGATTTAAGAACTTTTGTAATGAATAGATATTTGCCGCCGAAATGAAAAAATTCATAAAAATACGTTGAGTCACTTTTAAAATCATGTTCAAAGATACTTTGTTGATAAGATATAGGGATTTTTAAATCTTTTCCTTAGATTAAAACCAAATTTTAATTGTACTAGAGGATTGTTCTAATAAAATAAGTATTAGTACCGTCAGGAAAACCAGTAACTACAAATACCTGTCCATTAGAGTCAGAAAAGAGTGATTTTTTAACAGTATCATAATTTTAATGGATTGATTTTAAATATTTTCCACTAGTATTTTTATATTGAGTCAATTAGATTTTAACTGTTCCACTAATTGTTACAGTACTCATTGAGTATATATGCTCATAAATTCTAGAATAGTCCATCGAAAACACTTAGTTTGTAATAGCTGAACCAGGATATGTCAAATAAGAAAACCAAACTATTGTTGCCTAACTGGATTTTGATATATCTACTTTAAGAATAAAATTCGTCCAAGTTGTAGTTCCTACATCTGATCTCTAGCCTGTAATGTAAACTGTACTATTTTCAATATTGAAAAAAGCATTAATATTGTTAGTCTAAGCATATGAATACAATCCAGGAATTCTTTTCATGTATATCATGCCTCCATTTGTGTATGCTTGATTTATCAATCCTAATTGGTCATTAGATTAATGATAAACGCTATAGCAATAGGTAGGTATAGATTCAGTGCATGAGCAGCTTACATATTAAGATTCAATTCCTGTAATTGTGCTTGTGTGTATAAAAAGCCAATATATCATTCCATTGTAGTCTGATAGCATAGTAAATCCAGTCTTTTATGCCAATTTAAACTCTTACTAGAGAGGCTTATTTATTTGACCACAGATAATAAAATTTCCAGTCATGTTATGGACTTTAGTTTTCCTTACAGTTGTAGTAACCTCAGTCACATTTATAGTTGTAACTACAAGTACCTTGGGGAAATTAAAAAATCCTGAACATGGTGTTTTTGGAGCATTTTTAGGAACAAGAGCAGTATTGTCTGAATTTTATGCCAATGGTAAAGTTGCGAATGGAGAGCAAATTGTTGGAATGTCTATAAGACAAACATTACTAATCTTGACCATCCATGCAGAAGCAACAACATAATTAGTTTTAAATCCTATAGAAGGTCCTAAAGTAAATGACAGGGTAGAGCTTGGAACGTATGTCACATTCAACATACCATTAAATGTAACAGATTATTCAAAGCATTAATCAAATCTGAAAGGGTTGATAATACTTGCACTAGGTCCAAGAATATTCGGATAAGAAGAAGGAGGGTAATTGTAAGAAGGAAATGCTGAACATAAAATTGGATTGTTTGGATCTGAAGTGGAGAAATACTTATCTGTATGTGTCAGGCTTCTAGGGAACAACTTCTTGCCATTTACTATTTCTACTTACATAATTATCATAAAAGTAGATTCATAAATTGTCAGAGGTTTAGATGTTGATAGCAAAATAGAATTAGGGATGGATTGATCGTTGATTGGAAAATTATGAATTAGACTGTATTGATTCCCTTAATCTTCCATGCCTAGACTTTGATATTTCCCATGTTCATCAATGTTAACTGATTTCTTAGAAAAAACGGTCTAACTTTCAGTAAAAGTATTGCCAAATTTGTTAGCTGTATAGGAGATGTAGAAGTAGTCGCCAGAACTAGGTTGATATGTGAATCTTAAAGGAGCTCTGAATATATTAGAATACTCTTTATACACGTTTGAGAGCATATTAAAATCTAGGTCAAGAGTTATCATTTCAATTTGTCCAAGACTATCAGTCAAACTAATTACTAGCATAGTATCTCTTTTATAATCAAAGATAATGTTGATCATAGATGCTGATTGACTTACTTGAGTTTTTACATATACTCTTTTTAATGTTGTGCCATCATTTTTTATTTTTACTAAATGAGAATGACCACCAGTTTATGCTACAATTAGATCTAATGTCTTTCTGTTTTAAACTATTGTCGGATAACTTCGTTTTGCTTAAGTGAGAGATGGATTTAAGCTATTCATATTGTATATTCTACTCCAGATAACTGCACCACTTACTTAGTCTTATTTCAATATTATTAAATCGTCTACTGTTAAGGAATAGAAATAACACTATTAGGTAACATAGACATGGTCTGTAACATTATCAAATAAAGCTTATCCATGATAGCATATTGAATTTGGTTTTATAGGTTAAAATATTTAAGTATAGCTTGAAGTTAGTCCTAAATTAACACTATCTTGAAAGAAAATATTGCCAGGATGTTAAGCTAAATTATTATTCCAATAGGCTGTGAATGAAAGTACAAATTTAATAGATTTTGGTTTTTAATCAGAAGCTAAATCGTAGGCTTCTTTCATATATAGTAAACCACTAGGAAAAGCATCTTTTACATAGAAATTTTGCATCCAAAATGTCTTTCCTTCTTTATATGTCATCTTTACTATTGAATTATAAATTTTGTCGATAGAAGTAACTTTTGGAGTTGAATAAAATGCATAAACTGTCTGATTTACTAATGTGACAGCTGATACTTGATGATAAGCTCCTTTTGCTGAATACATTTAGACAACCCACAACACATAACCAATAGGGCCAATTTTCATTATAAAGCCTCCATTTGAATCTTCTTTTGAAAATACAAGATTAGTTTAAGTATTAGCATTCCCACCTAGTAAGATAAAATTATCTTCTGTAACATGCATCGTCATAGTTAAGTAATCATCACCAGTAATGTTACCCCCAAAAATAAAAGGATAAGGAGATTAAGCACATCCAGATGGTTATGATTCATCTATATACGTAGGGAATGGTGATTTAGTTTCATACATTTGATAAAACAGATCAACATCTTTGTAGCTTCCTGATGGTAATCCATTTTTAAGATCTTAAAATCTCTATTTTATGTAAAAAGTATACAATGGCCCACTTAACATTCCATAAAACTGCAATGATACCATTGTAGGATCCCAACTAATTCCAGGAATTCTAAAAGTAGTATTTTCAGTTACTGCATCTAAAGCTGAAACAGTTGTAATTCTCCCTTGACAATTAGGAGTTGCGTTTTAAAAACTCATTCCACCTGCATTTCTTGGCGCTATTCTTGTTCTATTTACTGGAGGAAAATCAATGCCTGCAATCATTCCACAATTTACTGCTGAATTCGGATACTCTCTAAATTTGTCAGTGAACACACCATCTACAAGATTATACTATTGATTTAAAATGTTCGCCCAAGTAATTCCAATGAAAAAGGTAGAATACCATCTAATTTTGGATTTTACGAATTCTTTATCTACATCATATTTGCTTGTGCCACTGATAAAAGTAAGCACATCTGTCTCAAGAATTGGACTAGTAATGTCGAAGACTGCAGTGTTGAGTACATCTAGAGTTGGATAATAATTGACATTTGCACCTGTTAACTCATTTATATTAAAGCAATTGTAGGTCAAATCAGTCCCTTTAAATATGATAGTTGAGGGCTTATCAGCAACTTTGTATTTCCCAAGAAAAACGTAGAACTAAATGTCTTAGTATTACAAAAGTTGCTAGGGAGCAAGAGATCCTGTAATATCTCCTTGCATCATTTTGTAAGTATATGTTGTAAAGTCAATGTTGAATTTTGCGAAGAAAGCAACATTGCCTCCTCCTGCTAGATAAGTATTACTCAAAGAATCCGAACCAGCAGTAACACTTGTCAGTACATAATTGGCAGTCATTGTCAATCTGATGCTTTTCATAGTAATAAGTTCAACTTTGTCAAGAACATAGAGATGAATTTTTTAAGGACTAGAATTCTGTAAAAATGGAACCACTATATTGGTGATACCATGAGTTCCTGAGAAACCTGATCTATCAGCTGTACCTTAATTTAAATGAACTTATCCGACCAACTTTCCAGTTGTGGAATCTATTCTAGTGACTTAACAGTATTTTGTGGGCACATGCTTTACTATGAATATCTGCTCTTTTTAAAAATCTTAAATTATATCTGTGAAATAGGTAGCATCAGTGTCTACGTAAAACTTCATCCATTCTAATACAAGAAAGTCCTATTCATAGAGACTTAGCGCTGCTATACCACTTTAAGTTGGAGTCTTTTTATATTTGAATAGGATAACTGATCTATATGAATAGTATGATTGAAGTGATAATGGTATCTAAAGAGTTGAGTTAACTGGATCAGCAGGTAACCATCTAGAGTATATATATCTGCCTGTTTGGTAATCTAGCCTGATAAACACAGGAGCAAATTTCTTAGTATCTACATTATATGCTGTGCAAATAGCGCTAACCCAGAGTTACCATTGTTGTGCATAGTAGCATTTTGATTCTTCAAAGGTTGGAATTGAAGAACTTACTTTGTAAACCCAAAATCTATATGCTTTTTAGTCCATTAATTGAATAAACCCTCTATATTGTGTACTTAGAGAAACTTCAGTTTCAGAATAGATATTATTCATAGCATATCCAGCCATCAAAAAATTTTTGTAATCATCCACTGACAATTAAACTATTTACACTTCAGTACTTTAGCCAAAGAAAAAAGGATAAATCTTATCGATACAAACATCAGTTGGTGGAGATCTAGGATCTCTTGGCCATTCTTTCGGAATATTTGTTGTAAGTCTTATTGGGGCAGTAACTTATACATCTTCATTAGAAAATAATAGATTTACGATTCGAGAGCCAAATAATTCCCACATAGCACTGCCTGCAGGAGAAATAGTCAAATTCTTGGGGTCTTGATAGTCAACTCTTATGCCTGGAGCATCAGTTCCATTCTATAGTTTCAATCCTAACATTGTGAATTGCCTATTTCTACAATCCCATCCAGAAAAGCCAACAGAGGTGGTATCAATATCAACGATAATCTCCTCTTGTAATTCAGTTTTATACAGATAATTACAGCTTTATAATGAAAATGCCCTCATAGTAGATGTCTACTTCTACATGGTAGTAGCCATTATTTTTGCTGCTGAAGCATCAAGTGTTCTATCAGTTATATCCAATACATTAAGCCTCAAAGTTGCACTTGAATCCTGTATAGGCACCACAACTTTAAATGTACTTAATGTGCTTGCTGTAGTATTTACACAGGAATAGTCTGCTGTATTTAGAGATTCATCTGATCATATAACGATTACCTTTAGGTATTAAAATAATCATTTTTACTCTCAATATTGTCGGATATTAAGGTATTAAATTTTATGTATAGAGACTAAAGAACAACTGGCCATTTCTGAGTGAAGTTTTCAATCTATTAAAAGAATTAATTTACTTAAAGAGCTTACTTAATCAAAGGGGAAACAGTAAAGTTTCCATTTATTATTTGCTAAGCTGTTACTTACCCATTTGTTGGGTTAATAGAAAATGCTTGAATGGTTTCTGTAAATTAAGTTAAGATAAATTTATATTACAAGAATTATAAACAGTCGATACTAGAATATTTCCACTGCTAGTATAAAATATGTCATAATCTAAAAGATTGTTAAATTTCTAAAATGTACTTGAATAAGTAATGCCGTTTGTGGTATAATGATTCACTACAACGTTATCAGAAACTTGGCCAATAACAATATTGAATAGCAATGCATTCGAAAAAGCAAAAACCCATTTATCTTCAGCTTAATTAACACACATGACTGGAGGAGTTATAGTTAAAGGTTATCCTCCAAGTTAATAATCTTTGATAAAAGCTCCATTAGTTTTATCTACCTAAGCAATATTTACCGCTATCGTAGTTCCCTAGACAATTCCAGCTGTCCAAGCGTACGAATTACCTAGTGCTAAATTTGATGAGAAATAAAATGTTGATGCAGTTAGTACATTCACGAATTTCCACCATTAGATTGTCATATCCTTATCAATTTTCACCAGCATTGCTGCATGAATCCCAGTTGTGGGATTAAGGCCTAGAGCACTAAAATAGGCAGATGTTATTTGCAAGAATAAGTAGATATCTTGAGTGTTCTGATCTGCCTTAATTTGTAATTAAGTGATTTTATCTGTTCCTACTGTAGGAGTGTATTTTTCTAGTGTTCTATCCTCCATCTATTGTCCATTAGTAGAATCAAATTTTAGCAATCTATAGCTGCCTTTATTGTCTATAGCTGCAAAAACAAACCCACCAGCTATTTAAGGATTACTTATTGTGTAGCCAGGATTTCCATTATTTCCTTTTTTCCATTTCAAATCACCTATTAGTCATTAATTATAGAGGATTTTACTATATTAATCCATCATAAAGATGTATGAATAATTTCCATTAGGAGTAAGAGTCTCATAAAAAGGGCATGAGGAAATTCCTTTAAGAAGGGCATATATTGTGAAAACCGAATTTCCATTTCCATCTATGTCCATACCAGTGAATGTCAAATTGATATTGCAATTATCAATAGATCCTCCTAACAATGTTGGAAAGTGCTTCTGATTTGGCGGACACCACCAGTCTTATAATTTTCCTAGGTAAAATTAGTTTTTTGAATATTACTTTTATCGTTTAATAAGGTACTACTTGAGAAATTTCTATCTTAAAGCTTATCACCTACTTATTTATGGAAATCATATTTTTCAAGTAGTATAGATTCTTCATTCTCTATTTCTCGTTTTATTTGTCTACTGTTTAAAGAGGAATAATCAGCCGCACCAAATATTTTTTATCAATATTAATCTCCATAATCAAAATCTTAATCTGAATTAAAAAGAGTAGAGTTTTCTTGTGCATTAATTTCTTATTGAAATAACGCTATTATCAACATGATGAAAAAGCATCTTAGAAATGAATTCAAATTTATTTAGTTAAAAGCCATAGAAAAAGTGTCTTTTGCTAGCAATTATTAATGAGATAATTATTTAGTTTACCTTTTAAATTTCAAAATAATTTTTATCTTGCTTAATTAAGTGATTTATTTAATTTGAATTTGCTATATTTACCTATTTCGTTCATCTAAATTTATATGGGGTTTTGGGGTTTTGGGG